AACAATCAACAGTTACCAGGCACAATCAACAGTTACCAGGGAAAAGGTTAAAAAGGAAGACAACAGTTACCAGGGGAGAACAGGTGGTGGGCAGGAGAGGAGAAACTATTCTCTAGATTTTGTGGCTGTGTTTGTATAGCATTTTCTATTATACAGTACAACTATGAGCTTCATCAGATTAACCTACCAAGACTTGTGTTATTAAATAACTGCATACATAAGACCGGTTACAAGAAATATAGCAAGAATATACAGAAGTGAGAAGCTAGTGTGTTGACCCCCCCCCCCCCAATAATATATTACATTTATGTAACCTGATAAATAAGCTACATAGAGGCATATGCTGAACATTGCCAAGTATGCAAAAATTATATGAAAATTATGTCATATGTTGAATTTCAGATGGGAAATAGGCTTTTATTGTGTATCTTATCATTTGCATACAATTTGAATATATGTCAAAGCAAGACAGAGGATGTGAATTAAAAAAAGCACCTCTTATTTCATTTTTAAATTCCTCCACTTCAGCAAGCAATTTGCATTGCTTGGCTTCTGCCAAGTATATAATAGTTTTAGCTATTAAGTTAAGTTTTCATAGCCAGCTACTATCTTATTTAGCCAATTGGAGATAATGGCTTAATTTCTTTTTGAATGATGATACTACTCTGTGTATGAAACTCCACGTTCATGATAACATAATTTTTTCCCCAGAATAAATCACATTTGGTAATCTGTCTGAGCCATTGATGGCAAAAGTGACAATTTTTGGTAAAATTGCTAAAAGTGAATCGGTGACGGGTAAGCGGAAGCCCACAATAGGAGCATCACAATATTCAGGGAGTCTAACTTGAACAAGCAGACCGACAAAGTGCTTAAGTTACTGCCTCACATACACACATCTGATAAGAATCACGACACGCAATAATCTAATGAAACATGATGGAGTCAGGATCTTGATTCTTTAACATTGCCCAGTGACGAAGAACATCTTTCTTTGTGATAATTCCCAGTAAACGTCTGAAAATACACAAGAGAATCATAACAAATAAAGAAGAAGTTCAGACTGAATTATCCATACTCTCATTACAGTATTATGAATTCACGTCGTAAGGAGGTAAAACAATTTGGGGTATAAACTGGACAAAATTTGCATTTTATCTTGTTTTCTATGTATAAGTGTCTCTTCATATCTTAATATATAATGTAACTGTATAAAGATTGATATATATTTTAAAGTCAAAATAGCTCCACTGTGTTGGATTAGCAACTTCAAAATGACTTGGTGAAATGTCCAGGTTGAAAAAAACGCAGCCTTTACCAGTTAATTTAACTGTTTTTATGATATTTCTATTCTGGTTGCTAGATATACATCAATCTAAATCTCCTAGCCAATGTTAGACATGTCAGTATAGTTATACTTACCCATTGTGAGTAACAAGACATGTCCGAAGACCTAATTTACGAAACATTTCCACTACAGTCTCCATTGGAGTTTGATCTGTCACTTGGAAAGGACTCTGGTAAAAATAAAATACAGGCATAAGTAATGACACTCATTAAAAAAGCATCAAATATCGACAACAATTCATACAACGTGCACCCTGACAATGTGATGTACCGGTAATCGGGATGAAACTCACCTGATCTAATATTTTCGTAAGTTTTAACGGTGAGGGCTGTCCTGGTAGCGAGTATCGTGGAACATGATTAGAAAAGAACACTTGTGACTGACTCACTACTTCTTCTTGGAATTTTCTGGCATTTGCTGAAAATTGAAAATACATGTACAAGTTAACACATCGTCTGTTGATGCAGTTTATCTCATTCATTTTTGTGGAGGCTTTTAGGAAGTTGTGTGTTAAAGTCATAAAAAATACTAATCTGTAATTTCTAGCACTTATATTGATACTTTGTGTAGGCAATACTCACCTAATGCAATAGTTAAATCTTTTCTTTGCACTAAACCAGAAAGTCTCTGTGATTCTTTAGAAACGACCATAGGATAGGCATTGTATGATGACTCAGTTGTTAAATTTTCTGAAAATAAAAAAAAGTTTTTCGAAATTAGGTAATGAAAAACCACCAACACATTATTCTGACAGAAATTAAACGTCCTCAGTGCAACATTTATCAGTGTTATATTAAAATAAAGACATGTTAAATTTCACCCACTCAATCACTCACATGATATTCAAATTAGTCAGAGCAATGTCTTGTTTACACACAAGGCCGACAGCATATGCATTCATGTAGCACAGTTTTAAAGTTTGATACTTAGCCTTGAATTATAGAATATAGAAACAAAACTATCTTATGCATTTAAACCTGTCAACACATGTCTGAGATATAACTGGACTGCCAGCAAGCCTTCAACAAACTGCTAAGATACCAACTTACCTAACTCTTCTACAGTCATACCTTCTTGGGTTATAACCGAAAGGGGAGGATCAGCTCGCCTGCAAGTATGTACAAACAACTATCAGACGCAAGTATAACAACCCCAAAACTTCACTTTTAAAAACACTGATTTATCACTGAAAAGCATAGTTAACAACTGTGGCCTTGCACATGGAGTTTCTTTTTCCCCTTCATCTAACATATACTTAAGTTGCCATAGTTGTTTTAACAGTGAGATAGGATGCTGAATGTATTTCTCAGTATCACTATATTTTTTAAATATAATGAAACAATTACAAACGTGCCATTGAAATTGGGTCTGTGTACTGATCTGATTAATGAATGAATAAAACTTCAAGATGCTATTGTTATTAAACAACTGTACTTCAGGTATAAAGTATGCTGACAACACACTGAAAGATTGTTTAGTGTCCTACTTGCAATATGCCAGTTTAATCATGTGATTGCAATCTAATCATTGATTGTTTAACGTACCTTGGTCTCATGACATCAGACGCTATCGTGCTGTGTACAAATTCCCTTTTACTATCAAGATAGGGATACCCATTCAGATAAATATGACCATCGTAACTATGACATCACTAAGGAGACTAGCTCACAGTATAATGAACAAGACATGTATTTAAAACAAAGGAATGTCACCTACACATGTGCAGGAATTGAGTCTTAAAGTGACGATAACAACACATACTAAAAATGCAAAGACTCATGGGTAAATGCTTGTTTGTAAACAATGACATGCTACGGCCATCTAACGCACGTGTAGGTAACAACTCCTCCCGCTTTGATTTGAGATAAATATTGCAGTTGACTATCAGGAAATTTCTAACAAAGTGAAATTGTTTTGTTTGATTTTTCTCATTTTTGTGTCACATTTTTCTTTCCATAATTTTGGACTGAATGAACATAATTTCATATTAGTTAGAGGTCTTGATAAAAATATTGACAATTTCATGTAGGTTTATTCATGACAAATGTGAACAACATGCACATACCGGTAATTTTCACATCCTGTAAAATTTTCAGTAAATTTTATCACCATTTTGAACCATACAGTTTTTGGATAGTGCTTTTAGTTTTTGACCAAACGGTTGGTCTATTTCAACATTCGATGTTGCAGAGGAGAAGACTATACAAAATTATTTTTGTCAACAAAAGTTGCCAATGGCACTCAAAGGGTCTTTGAGACCAATTAACAATTTCAGAAGATACATTTGAACTATATTTTGAAGTAA